AGTTCACATGGCTAGCCTATGACAGAGCCAGGAAGTCTGGTTTTTCAATCACAGCTTGCCACCTCCCTACTGGTTTAATATGACTTATCATCACTCTAATACTCCATAGTATCTTCATTTGTGTGATGCTTGGTATTTTAGAAGATACTTTCATATACAGTGAGTCTCATAACCAGCCTGTGAAGTGAGGAAGGTGGGATTATTATCCTCACTTTTATAGGAGAGAAAACCGATACAGATGAAACTAGGGGTGTGCTGGGGAAGCGTTTCTGTGTTACAAGTACCCCAGCCACCTCTGTACATAGGGAGTCATTCACCCTGATGTGCTGAGTCCTTACAATGTGTCAAACTCAGACATCTGGGCTGGGGCTGAGAGCTACAGGCCTGCCCGGGATCACCAGAGCCTAGTGGGAAACACAGGTATGGAAACTGAGAATCACCATATACAATATGTAATCTTTAAGGGGGTGAGAGAACAAGTGCCTGTGAAGCACAGAAGGAGGGACCATCTGTGTCAGGGAGGTCTTAGAAAAGGCAAAGGTGGCCGTCGCAGAGGGGAGGCTTTCCTGGAAGTGTGTGAGTGTGGCCATGACTGTGCGTCCAGCCACGGCTGTGTATGGGTCTAAGCGTGTACCTGTTTACAAGGGTGTACTCACATCTTAATTTATGTACGTGCTGGCTGTCAGTATGGAATCTGTAAACCTGAGTGCAAAGAACAATGTGTCTGGGTCCACACACACACATTGGCAGGATCTGGCCTGCCCTGGCATGTTCCCGCTTTCCCTTCTTCCCCCAAGCCCAGGTAACTGGAGGTGACAGTGGCTTCACACGGCAGCAAATGTCTCGTGAGCTATGGTGATTAGACTCACCAGGTTTTCCCTCTATCAGTTTGAATGTGCACCAGTCTAACAGAGCCAGCCAGCTGGTATGAGTAGCGGGGAGTGAGACTACAGGTATCTGTGGGGGCGCCTCTGGGTGCACAGGTCTGGCTATGTATGCTTAGTATTGGCTGCTTTTACCAGACTTTCCCCTCCATCTTCACACCTTGGGGAGTTCATCCGCTCCCATCTTACTACTGCCACCTGAATGCGGCTGGCTTCCGCCTCTGCTGACAGGTCGTGGGGATATCTGGATATCTGGAATGTACTTCTGTGCTGGGGCTGGGCAGAGGCAACGCTGGGAAGTGTTGGTGCCCATTTTCCTTGGAGACACTTCCTACCCGCCCCACCCCCACCCCATTCTGGTCCCTGCATCTCCGATAGGCTGAAATATGTGTGCAAAGGCAAGCAGGCCGGTGGCAGCCATGAGGGTCGCTCCCAGGGGCAGGCGGATCAATCCTCTCCCCTGATGATAAAACGTGGTTTTAGACCAAAATTGAAAAAGAAGGAGAAATGAGGACTCCTCTCTCCACAAATGTTCCCCCCCGGGGAATTAACGACATGGGGAATAAGGCTCCAATATTTTTTTTATTTCTTTTTAAGCTTCCACAATCAAAAGAGCTAAAAATGTATTATTTAATACAGAGTGGCAAAGTAATTGAACTAGATTTTCCCTTTTGTTGTAAGGCATATGAATTCGGGGCCGTGGGCTCAGGTAAGGCAAAGGGATAATGTGTTGCAGTGCACTGGTCATTCCTGCGCGTATTTACCTCCTGGCCTGAGGCACTGCCACAGTGCGAACTAGTCACACGGTAAAAGAGGCAAAAATGAAGTGCAGGAATCCACACGTGTAATACGCCAGACTTTAACTGGAATGAATGAATGGGTGAAGAGAAAAACCAACATATTTAGGAAAGCAGGATGGTCTCCTAGAGTGCTCTCTGAAATGATAATACCTGGATTCTGTTCCCAGTTCCACCAATGACTTAATCTAATGAAAACGTTTTGTTTTTTTTTTTAGCCACATATTGGAAAATTAGTCCAGTGGCAGGGTATATTTCAAAAACATTGAACATGTTTTATCAAGCATTGTTCAAGTATCTTCTAAGGATCACTAATAAATGTTAGCTGTTGCATACCTGAATATATTTATGATAGCACCATATATAGTATATATATTTTCACGTTCTGGACACAAATATTTTCCAAAACATTAAGGGAAGACACCGGTTTTCTGACATGTGAGGAGAATTTTTCCACAGTCAATATGTTGTTTATTCGCACTTGAAGACTGCATCAGTAATCGGAAAAAGAGAAATAGTCAGATACTGGCTCGAGACTGCTTAGAGGCTAAGGCTTCTATCACGGACTGCTTTCAACTGTTCTATTTGGTGGCACAGATTCAGTGGGAAGCTGATCTGCTAAAATATTTGGGCTGTGAAAACTCCCACACTGTGACAGATGTCAAGTCCAATTAAGTGACTCATGTCCAGGTTTCTGTCCAATAGGATTTCCCATTAAATATCAATTTAGGGGGAAAAAAATTCCATCCCCCTTCTTAAGCCTTTATCTCTTCCACCATCTCCAGGCTGAATCAATTGGTACCAGGAGAGCCAAGAAGCCACACGCGTCTCTGCCTCTTTGCTCTGGCTCTCCCACCCTCTCCCGGCTTTCTCCGCCGCCCTGTCACTGTTACTCCGGGAGACATTCACTTTCCACGAACCTTTCTCCAAGCGGCTCCAAGCTAGACTATATATATTTTGCTATAAGGTAAAGAAAGGGGGCGGGGGTGGGTGGTGGGTGGGAGGTGTTAGCAAGCCTTGAAAGACTTTGCAACTGCAAATAGGTGTCTGTTTATACAATCTACAAGTAAATGAGGAGAGAGGAAGAGGCGAGCTTAGCCCCGAGTTACTGTATTGTGTTCCTGGGAACTGGGGAGACGCAAGCCGAACAAAGCCTTATCTCAGAAAAAAAAAAATCACTTCTGAGGAAGATCGCGTCTCTGCCTTGCACTTCCCAGTTTCTTCTCCGTCGTGTTAAGGCAAGGGGAAGGGTCCTACAGGAGCGGGGTCTTATCTGTAACCATCTTTCTTATTGATTCTTCCTCTATTAGAAAGTGGAGGAATCAGCCCTTTGATGTGATTGTTTATCTCTGCATCTCTTTTGTTATTTATAGAGACCTAGAAGAGGAAAAAAGGCCCGAGACTTTTCAGCACCTCATTTAAAAAAAAATCAACAACGAATTTCCCGAAATGTTTGAGGGCAATTAAAAGGAAAAGGCGTTTTTGGTCCATCAACTAAGTGAACAATCATTTACATCGTCCACATCCTGAGATATTATCGTCCCTCGCTGTGGACACCAGCGAGATGACAGCTGCTTTTTCATACACGAATGTAATAAATATTTGCTGCTTTTAATATATATTTCGGAATTTCTCCCCTCTGTTCTTTGGGATTTCTAACTCTAAAAGATTGGAGAAAAGATTATCGAAAAGGCTTTTACAAGGTAAGGCTTCTTTAAATAATTTCCCCCCACCTTGGAACTAAGTTAGATTATTCATACTGCCTACATAGATGTACTTCAGCTAATTGTGAAATGAATGTGTGCACGACACGCTATTTGTGAGTATTCTAAAAGATAGCTGGAAGAGAATGGAGCATGCTTTGGAGGCAACCCCGGGAACTTTTTAGCCGAACTACAACTATGTCGATGCTTACTGTGATTTTCCACCACTCGCCAATTTATTTATGCCCTTTCGAGCCGAATGTGCAGGTGCAAGTTGTTTTACTTTATAAACGTGCCCGTGAAAAGCCCGCAGGGAGTCACACGCGGCTCGCTTGGAGGGTTTGGTTTTATTCTGCCTTCGAGGACCTGCTTTCCTCGCAGCGCAGGGAGAGCCGGCTTGGGGACACGTTCGCTCCCGGGCAGGCGCGGGGCGGGGAGCGGCGCTCACCTCCGCGGCTTTTGTTCGTCTGGAAGCGAGCGCTCCGACGCGTGGCCGCCGCGGACTCCTCCCGTGGCGAGCGTCCCTCGGGCTGCACGCGCGGGGTCCGCGCTGCACGCGCAGGTGCGGCCTCCACCGCCGGCCCCTCGCTCGGAGGCCGGGTCCCCACACCCCTCCCCACCCCGAGCCCCGCGGTGTGGGCAGCCGCCTCCCGGGAGGCGCGCGGTCTGGGTCGGAGCTCCAGGCCCCGGGAGGAGCCCGGCGGGGCGGCCTTCCCAAGAGGGCGTCGTTGCAGGAGAGCTGAGCACAGACCCGCTCGGCCTCTGCCAGGCCGCCCCCGGACCGCGGCGGGCTCTCGACTCCCGCCCCGGCTCTCCCCTTCGCTCCCAGCCTCCCCTCCCGCCACTACCCCGCCGGCGGCATTTTCCCGTGAGGTGGTCGGCCGGCTGCCGAGTGCATTGTCTCACGCCGCGTCGCCGCGTCCCCAGGTCCCCGATGTGTGTGGCTGTCTGCGTGACAGATGGTGCTTCGGGGGACCGCGAGGGCATGAGGGTCAATTTTCCGGAGAAAGGAGCCCTCGCGTCTGTGTAGTGATTGCTTTGTTTTTCCGGGGAAGCGCGAGGGGGCGAAGAAGCTGCCCGCTCCGGGCTGCCCGCCCTCGGTCCGCGCTCGCGGCCGGGCTCCCCTCCCGCGCGGGGCGCCCTGCGCCGCCGCGGCCGTCCCGCACGCCCCAGGCTGGGCCGAGGCCCGCGGGCGCCGCGGCCTCCGGCCGCCTGGTCCAGGGCCCCCGGGGCCGGCGCGCCCGCGGCGTCCCCGCCCCCCGCCCCAACCCGCGTACACCCCAGAAGTGCTCGCCGTTCGGAGTCATTCGTTTGCCAGGGAAGGGGAAGTGAGGCAGGCGGCCCAGGGGTCGGGATTTGGCCGGAGGAGGCCCCGAACGCGCGCGCAGCCTCCTGGGCCTGCTGTTTCCCCGCTGGGCCGGGCCCGCAGGCCGGGGAGTCGGGTCCGGGTCCGGGATGCGGCCGGGACGTCGCGGGCCCCGGCGCCGTGGGGGAGGCGCGGGGCTCGGGCCCCCGGGCGTGCCCCTCTCCGCGCGCTGCCCGCCCGCTCTCCCTCGGATCCAAAGAAGACTCTTCCTCTTATTGATTGATGTTCTGACTCCCCCTCAGCCTCCAAAATGATGCTGAGTCCGGACCAAGCCGCCGACTCGGACCACCCCAGCTCGGCGCACTCGGACCCGGAGTCGTTGGGCGGCGCGGACGCCAAGGTGCTGGGCAGCGTGTCGGACCTGGAGCCGGTGGAGGAGGCCGAGGGCGACGGCAAGGGCGGCAGCCGGGCCGCGCTCTACCCGCACCCGCAGCAGCTGAGCCGCGAGGAGAAGCGCCGCCGCCGGCGCGCCACCGCCAAGTACCGCTCGGCCCACGCCACCCGCGAGCGCATCCGCGTGGAGGCCTTCAACTTGGCCTTCGCCGAGCTCCGCAAACTGCTGCCCACGCTGCCCCCGGACAAGAAGCTCTCCAAGATCGAGATCCTGCGCCTGGCCATCTGCTACATCTCCTATCTCAACCACGTCCTGGACGTGTAGGGCCGCGGGCACGGCGGGAGGCCGCCTGCCCGACGCCGGGGGGAGCGCCGCGGGGCTGGTGGACGAGGGGGCCGCCCAGCCGGACGGCCGCCGCGAGAGGCCCGGGCGCAGGAGGAAGCTCGCTCGCCACGCGTTCGAGCTCTCTCCGGTCAGCGGGGGATCGAGGGAAGGTTTCCAACTCGGGAAGGTGGGGTTGTCTGGCGAGCCCTGGGGTTTGCAGGGGGCATTATTCCAGGCCAGGCGAGCCTCCGGAGGCGCCCGCCACGCACAGCCTCCAGGCCTCCCCTGCGTGTGTTAGGATCCCTTTAAGGGTGGTTGCTTTAGCTCACTGGAGGCTTTGAGTTCTCCATTTATCTCCCATAGATCTTCACGTTTTGAAAGAATAAGGGCAGGAGCTCAGAAGCTCAGAGTAAAGCCTCCTAACTTGAGACTCTCTGGGATTTTTCTAATTGACAAATCACCTAACATTTGGAGGGGGTGGGAGGGACTCTCCTCCAGTGTAGAGATTTAAGGCACAGAACGGTGGAACAGGGAAGTTTCCATTCTGCTGTGAAAGGGAGGATTATATTAGGATCCAAATAAAACAGAGAAACCCTGAATATGGGTAAACTTAAAAGATAGATTAAGAACAGACACACTGTGGGAAGGTTGAGATTGGTGAGATTTTTAACCCCAAGGTAGGACACCGATATAGACAGGAGAATCCATATTTAAATGGAAATTTTAATATCTGATTGCTTTTTCAGGCGAAGTGCCCCTTTATATATCCAAAAACATCTATTTGTGACCTTAAACATGTGGACCCATAGGTACAGTTAGCAAAAGACAACCTATTTTTATTTATGTTAGAAGGAGTAGAGTATTTTTTCCAAGACATTTATTTTTCAGAGTGGTGATAATTTTACTTTGGATACTCTGTGCCAATTTATTTATAGTCAAGTGTTTACACTTCTTCCTGTGGAATAATTATGTCTAACTTTTTATGTGTTTGTTGAGATTATACTGTGGTCTTTCTTTTTGCTCTAATTATATTGCACTTGTATAACAAATTCCCCACTTCTCCCTGTTTCTAAACATATTTTATATATTAAGATGTTTGTTCTTGAAAGGTTCCTTTGTTGTGAGATCAGCAACACTAGCACTTCACTATTATAGTTTTTTAAAAAAAAAATAAGTGTTGTTATTCTTATCTGTAGTTATGTCTGAAAAGTACAAACTGTTTATAAGGAGAGTAGCTTCATTGTGTGTGTGTGTGTGTGTGTGCTGTTTGTGCGTGGGATGATTTTAGGAAATTAAGTTATTTTCCTAAAAAAAAAAAAAAGAATTCAAAACTACTTTCCTCTGTGACAACCAAAAAGAAAAGTCTATAACCTGAAACTGTTTCATGTTCTCAGCTGTGAAACTCTTAAATCAAGGAGTGTATTTTAGAGGCAAGGAAAAAAAAAACACATCTGCTATCCAAAGATTTTAGTCTTTTTCAGGGTTTTTTTGTGTCTCTGTTGCTTTATATAATGCAATATTTTGTAGTGAAAATAGATATAACCTGGTTTCTATCTGACGAGTTTTTCATATCTCATGAATGGTGCGCTGTTTTGCATATAAATAAAGGTATCAAATAAAGTCCTCTCCTTTATTTAACCATACTGTTGAAAAATCATAAACATCCCCACTGAGCATGAACTATCTTAACGGACACAATCCTTGGAAAGGAACTAGTTAAAAAACATACATATACCAAAAGCAAAACAAAACAAAAACAACAACACCCCAAACCTTAACAAATTTACATATTGAGATGTTTGACACTTTCCCTAAACCTGGACACTGAGTATGTCTAGATGTTCTACGTGTGAGGGTGACATAGATCACCCTACTCCCAATGAGGGATACATTGTAATGCTTATAGGAATATATTATTAGAATCATGGGTTCTTTTGCCCTAAAAGGAATCTTAACCTCTTCAAATTTGATTTAGGAAACTGAGGCGCGGGGAGTTTGAGTGTCCTACACTAAATCACATGGCTACTTACCGGCAGTAAGAAGACTCTGAGCCGGTGACACCGAGTCCTCATGGCATTTGTTAGTAACAAGGTATGTACTGTAGCACTCAAACATCTAATCAAGATGTGACCCCTGCAAACAAGAAAAAAAATTAAGTCCTGGGCCAACCTGGAATATGAAGAATGTCATCTACAAAAGCCTATAAATGTGAAATTGTGTATATGCAGAACACACGAATAACTTTAAAATGATACACACACACACACACACACACACACACACACAGATTATGAACCATGAGTCTGTATCACACCAAATCTCTGGTTGCCAAGTAAAAACTTTAATTCTGTGGATGCTTGGTTTTATGTCTGTCAAATATCTGGGATTCTGAGCATTTTTCACCTTTCACCCAGGTATCTTGTAGTCCAGTTCATAGATACCTAGTAAGTGAGACCTCATTCTCTTCTTCACATTGAGGTGCATAGTAGGAACGCACTTTCAAGGGCATGGGAAAGAATGGAACCTTCTTTGGCTTTGTACCTGCACCACGTCCTGGCTCTCCAGCCTCCAGACATGCTGTGTTCGGACTGAGTATTGGATTGAGATCCTCCTCGCCAGGAACCGTCTCAGTCCTCACAGCACTTCTCTCCTATGTGCCTGAAAAATTGGCCCTGCTCCCATGCCAAAGAAATGGAGTCAACTTCTGACCTCTAGAAACCTTCTGATGGCTTCCCTTTTCCTGGTTTATGAGCCCAATTTCCAACTGACCTACAGTCTTCCCATTGACATCTAGGGGGGATCTTTTAACTCTCTTCCCAGACCACGGCCCTCACCTCTGGTGTTAAGTAAGGCAGACATGAACAAGGGGCAAAGGGCAACATCCTTTCCCGGCCACCCAGCCCCCATGAGGCCAGGAGAGGATCTCTGCAATATCCTTTCTGATCCAAGCCAGCTCAGCACCCTCCAAAGAGAAAGGGAGCCCTGTGGGTAACTGACCTGTCCCTGGCAGGTAGCAGGGACTCAGCTATATGTATTCAGCCACGGGCAAGGCAGCAATGACTCTTCTCTGAATAATGATGGCCATCAATGAATCTTTAATTCAACACGTATTTGTTGAGGACCTACAGTGTGCCAGGCATTATTCTAGACGCTGAAAAGAGAGCAACAAATGGGACTGAGTCTACTGGAGAAGGGACCACGAGGAAACAACATTTAATGGCAAGTTTTGCTCAGTGCTACCAAGAGGAGAATGGCAGCTGAGGGCACTGCGTGCCTGCTGTCGGGGCGGCCCCTCAGAAGGGGTGGAAGCTTGGATCCACCTAACCAGCCGCGCCCACGATCGCTGCAACTTGCAGTGCCTTGTCTTCTCACATCCTGTTAACATGTCCTGTGCTCAAGCCACCAGAAGAGCCCCAGCCGACCTCTCGCCACTCCCCACTGGCGGGGGCCCTGTCCTTCAGCCTTGGCTTGCTCCCTCTTCCTAGACACACTGGGGGCTACGGCTCCTCCCACTGCCCCCCTCACCTTCTGCCCCCTGTCCCAGCAGCCCAGCAACTGGCCAGTGCATCGCCTGTCCCCCGAAAACCGAGCCCCACCTGGCCCAGCTGGTGGGGCCACCTGTGCTGAGTACTTTTACACCCAGATGACTGCTTCACTTCTGCCACTGTCCAGAGACGTCCAGAGAAGAGGGGCAAAGGTCCTAAGCAAAAACCCTGCCCCGGGGCAGGGGGAGGGTAATGGGAGGGCCACTGGCTGAGAGTACGGGCGGGCGGGCGGTGGGATGGATTAGGAAGGGAAGAGCAGGCTGAGGACAGGGCGTGTATGGAAAGAAATGGAGCTGGATGGAGGCGGAGGGAAGGCCTGCTTCCCGTCTGAACCCCGTTCCTGGGCCTTCCTCCAGTGCCCCATCCCCCATGACCCCATGTCTGCTAGGATGAAGTAAGCAGACAGAGCCAACCTCTGGAGTGCCATGATGTATCCAGCCCCTGTCACTGCTGTCTGTCTCTGGATGCCATCTTCCTCCCACTGAGGTCTGGGGTAGCAAGGGATGAGATGCAGGGGACAGCCAGCTCAAGTGCATGTATAGCCAATAGCCCTTCCCAGGCCTGGAGTAGGCATTGTTGGCACAGTAGATATGTTAACAGCTAACATGGAGTCAGCATGTACTATGTGCTTACTGTGCTAAGGCCTTAGCGTGCATTCTTATCTCTCTTCATCCTCACAATAACCCAATGAGGTAGGTACTTTCATTCAACAAGTTTAGGAAACTGAGGCTTAGAGGAATTACATAACTTACTCAGGGTCACGAAATCATGTCTGTCAGTCTATCCAAGTGTCTGCCTTTAGGGGTCCCACTCGATGGTTTTGCTCACTAAAGTGGGGGAGCGTGCCATGCACACACCCTGCCTTTGGCCCTTGTGCCCCATCCCCTCATGCATGTGCCGAGGAGAAGCTTCAGTTCAGGTAAAGCCTAAGGAGTGCAGGTCCCCCAACCAAGTGCACTCACAGGGGGCTAAGACTGAGCCTGAGCCCTGTGTGCCAAGGTCAGAGCATGCCGGGGCTTGGGACTAAGCCGTAGGTGGTGGAGGAGCCTCTTTCTACTTTGCAGGAAGACACCACAGGCAGGTGCAGCTCTGGACAGGCTCCTCCTGAAGGAGACTGGAGCTAACTTGAGACCTTCTGTGACAGTGCTGGTCACCACCACGGTGGGGCTGGCGCTTCAGTCTAGCCCACCCACACTCCTTAGCACGCTGCGGCCCATTCTCCCGGTGCCCCGAAAAGCAGCTTGTGAAGATAGCATGCCATTCCCTGCCTGAAAGCTCTGCTGGACTCCCCATTGCTTACAAATAAAGCTCAAGTTTTTCTTCCAGGCATAGAAATCTTTCACAAGCTTCTTGCAGATACTCTCTAGCATCATCTTCAGCCATTCTCCCTGAGGTTAAATGTGTCTGCCAAATTCGGATTTCCTCTCTTCCCTGGAGATGTCTGGTCCTTTATAA